TTTAATCTTACATCGTTCTGCCTTTACCTCGATATATACTACGTGTTTGTAATAAACACAGAAAAATTATTTCTGTGGTAGTAATATATACAATATGATGGTTTGAATTATCGCTATTACTAATTATAAAATATAAATTTACACATTACGTGATCATTTCTAACTCCTTATGAAGAATATTAACATTTATCGATTCTTTGCGGTAGGTCAAGTGTCAGTGGTCGGTGTACATGTCGACTTCTGTAAGATGACACCGCGTGTCGAGTGTCAGGCAGGCCAGCAGCGGCGCACGCGCCACCGGAAGAGTGCAGTGGGTGGTTTCCGTCCTCTGCGCGGATGTTCACCACGATAAGGTTTCCCGGTACAGTGATATGTTATCAACTATTCATTTGCAATTAATGGAATTTGGGACGTTTATTTTGATGTTTAAAATACCGAACAAATGCGAATCGGACGAGGACACGAAGGATTCTATACAATTTACAATTCAATACAATAGTACAAAGTATGCTAATTGAAATACCTACAGCAATTACCACACACTGGTATCACAATCACTTCTATTTCCGTATACGCATTACAGTAAACTATGAAAATAAAGATGAAACCCTCCACAAGTTTGCATTCGTCCCGTAGGCCAATATCAAGAAGCCACAGAGACAAGCCGCTAAACTTGTGCGAAGTTGCTGTAAATCTTCACTTAAGTGAGTATAGATACAGTTTAAGCACGCGCTCGCGTCGCCGCCTTCAATCTAAGTTTGGCCTCGCTCGCCTGTCCGCTACACTCCTGCATAATGAAATCGGGACCGTCCCAGAATTCACAAAGTTACCCGATATCGGCAATAATTACACACACACACACACCCGCCACTGAACTTTGATACCATACGCCGCGAGTGTATGTAAGGGCGCGAGCCCTTGCATTTTTACCATGATTTCGCGTGAAACTTTTTATGCGCTCGCCCTTATCTAACGAGCAGTAACATTTATCTAGTATCTGTCACTTAAAGCCTTTGCTCTCGTGTAAACGGGCGACCTTATTTTTTGCTAAAGGGTCGGAGCTATCAGTCGGTCGGGCGACACAATATTACCCTGCACAAGGATATATCGCGTTCGAATCGCGTCATCGTTCACCCACGCGCGGGCGCGGGCGTGTCTCCGCGCCTTAAGGATGAGTTTATGGGGAGGCTCGCATTATGCCCGCGGCAGATACGGGCTGTTGACAGCTCTAGCCGTGATATTGGCGAATAACTTAAAATGTAATGTCTTTATCACTCATGCTATCATCCCTGCTATACATAATGTTACATCCAGATATAGTAATAGGTATATAAATTATGACATTCGCGTACTAATCCACTCACATACATAACAGCGCATATGTCCATACATACAGCAACGACGCATCTGTTACGGGATGTGCAGAGAAGACTGTTATGAATCTGTAGTGTGATGGATGGATCTGCCGCAGCTTCGAATGCGTACATATATACGTAATGTAACGTGTAACTTCGTGTATTGTGCATTCGTGCTCGCCAAATACGAACTCGCAGACGAACTTTAAGTACGAAAGAATTTAACTTTAAATGTTGAGTTATTTCTTAATTTTTGCGATTCTCTGTGCGCGTTATTGTATTTTTGTTATGGTCAAATTCAAAATATCCTTTTTTGTTTTTATAAAAGAAAAGCGGTTGCGGTATGCCCAAGTAATACATTTGCTATTAGTTACATTATTAGGTTTTTTAGTCGTCATACATATAGAATTTTATTAGGGTACACATAACACATGTTCTAAATCATAATTGATTCTTAAACTTTGCATGCACATGCGTCAAAAGTTGTTCTTAAACGTTAATTTGAACCTTTGAAGACGTTTAAATATAAAATATCATTGCATTTAAAACATTCTTTACAAATAAAAGTTTTATCAAATAGACAAAGAAAATTATACATAAAAAAATATTTTCATTTATTTTTGTCACGTTCTGTCATATTTCTTTGCAATTTCCAGATTTTCATCTGGTGCCTTCTTATTACAAACTATGAAGAATACTAAGAAGTCTCAAATTACGCACGTGAATGCGTTAAAAGTTTTTCCTAAACTTTAATTTGAACCTTTAAAGACGTTAAAATATAAAATATCATTGCATTTAAAATTTTCTTTACAAATAAAAGAGCTTCATCAAATAGACAAAATAAATTATACATAAAAATGTACATTTTCATTTATTTTTGCCACGTTCTGTCATATTTTTTTGCAATTTCCAGATTTTCATCTGGCGGCTTCTTATTACAAACTATGAAAAATACTAAGAAGTCTCCTACACAGAATATTAATGCGGGGAAATTTCAGTTCGCTTTTGTTAGCGCTAGATAAGTAAGAAAACCTTTATCTGTTCATAAAGCTTATTGATGATGGCGAGCGAGCGCAGCGTTTGCGAGATTAAAAAGTTACGTGTAAAATATGTGCGGAGCATACAAAATAGCATGAGAATAAATGTAGCTACATTATCTGGTTTCCACGTGTAATGTCAGTACATACATTATGATATGTATATAGGCACCACGACAGAGCACTTAGCGAGCGCGAGGCGGGGTCACATCAATCACAACACAATTTTATATCAAATGTCGTTCTCAATCAATTTGCGCCGGGATCGTATTCCCCACTACACTTGGTCTAGCGGCGCTACCTTCTCTCTACACTTGTCTACTCATGATAAGGGTGATGTGCTTTTAGATGTCTTATAGGTGTTTTATGGAGACCTTGTGCTTCGTCGGAAAATAAATCACTCTCTACCGAAGAAATGTTATAATTAAAATAAGATATCTAATAAAAAGCAAAGATTATAATGAAGAAATAAAAGTAGTCGATAGAGCTGTTACTAATGTAAAACTTTTTCGAATTACTTATAAAAACAAGGTTGATATATCAATTCAACTACGTACTTGTTCGATCTTTTAAAAGTTCGGAGAAAATTTTAGTTGTTGCTTTTTATCTTCCATGAAAGACACGCATTGTCTTGGTAAGATATTCAGTAATGTTTATATTTTTTGTTATAAAATTGGGAAATAAAACGTAATAAATAATTAAGCTGCCACTTTTTAATACTATTGTACTTTGCTGAAGTAGGTATGGCTTTCTATTTATTATGTTTCATCTTTATTTCTGGCAGAAGACTAATATAATATCGTATGACGGCGTACCTATATGAGATGTGATGCTACCATCAAACTTAACTTTCCTAATGGATAGCGTAGTTTTGAGGAAACCACTACAGATAATTAGCGAGTTGCTTGTTCTCGTCACTGTTCTTAATTGACAGAGACGTCTTTTGCCGCACTCGTATAAACTTTTAGGGGCGTTATCAAGATGGATATCTTTTTTTTGTAACTTCCACGCCAATGATTAACCGTTAAACTTTGGCAACTTCACGATTATGATTGTTACCTTACAGTAGAGAGCACTTTGGAATTAATGTTACTTCGAAATATATATTTTGTTTTTTTTTTCGCCATGGAAATATGTAACGCGCAGGTAGTGGATTTTCACTTCTCGCTGTAGGAATGAACCGCCTGTATTGGAATTTCCTAGTCACGTTTAGGTTTACAAAGGCGTTTGTTTATAAAACAACATAACCGCGTTCCTCTAGCACGCTGTGCGTATTGAAAGACTATGAAAATAATAGTCCATCCAGATTGCAGCGCGCGCTTGGTAACTGCGACTAAGTGCTCAGGACCATTGTTCATGGAACATTATATGGATCTACGCTACTGATTATACTACTGAGTAGAGGGAGTTGCTGTCATGAACGCTGCAAACCGCCTCGGAGTTGATGACTGAAATATACAGAATAGGTAGTCTTTATTTCGTAAAGTACCAAATCTGAGGTATACTTTTACATACAGTACAGTGAAACTTCTGGTTTTAAGCATGGTAATAATAATTATTCGCAATACTATCTATTATCTAAACGTAATGTATTTATTTTATATCTTTTGGTTGTCAAATATTTTGTTATAATTATTAACCTGTCATTTCTTAAAAATCCGATAGTGGATGAAGCAGACTAGATTGTATTTACTACATATTTTTAACTTTTCTTAAATATAAAAAATTACAGAGATACATTATTTGGGTATATTTCAGTACAATTCAATTTAGAATGGTGTGATAATGTACTAACATTAATGCTTGTGATAAAACACTATGCTAAATGATTTTCAGCTGCAGTTTTGACGAGCCATTTCTTGAAACATTGTGTAAAAGTTTAAAGCTCCTCAGTATCTTTACATAAGATCCTAGTACACTGTGATATCCTTTATGTTTTATTTAGCGTTTGTTTTTAATGTCAGTTTAATTTATTTCAACTGACCTTTCTATAGATGATAGGGTGACAGCGGAGCGGAAAAGAGCGACCGAAGAGATAAACTATCTTATCACTAGCTATCGTGAGTGGGGACCAATCGATATTGGGGTGATTTGACACTTCAATATCATAGAGTTAATATTCATAGTACCCAGAAGGGTTTGTTTCCATAATTAAAAAATAATATAGTGTCATTTTTAAAGTATGTCATTGTAATTATTACTCATGGAAGAAATTGTTACATATATGCATACCTACATCATATAAGGACGTGGACTACAGTTGCGGCTTATTCATCCTATTGAACTAGTATATTGGCATCTATTTTTATAGGTCATCCGCTGTGACGCGCTTAAATGGTCTAATAGATGTTTATTGTTGATTGCTTCACAATGCGCATGAGTTGAACCACGACTTGCTTCCTTTTGTAAGTACATATATAACATGTTCGTAATATATGTTTGGATTTATAAAAATATTATTTTTTTTATAGTAAAATTGGTATATAAATGTAATCTTCAGGACTAAATAAAACAAATAAATGTATTGACGATTTCGTTAATCTTGTATAAATTTCAATGTAAGTAAAACAATAATAATAAACTCAATAAAAAACTTTCAACAACTCACCATTATATTACTCGTTTCCTTTTCACTTGCTCACAAAAAACCAATAAAAACCATGAATAACAAACATGAAAATATAATACGGCTCGCGTTGCTCGAGTGCAATTGCATTAGACGAATAAAACGAAAATAAAAGACGGAGCAATAAAACGTGCGTTATCGTACAAATTAATGGATGGTCGATTTGAATTTAGGTTTACGCGATACGACCGCGGCGAGCGGAGGCTCACGTTGGTGTGGCGGACGGCGGAGTCGCGGAGTGGACGCGGAGTGGCGAGGAATGAGGAATAGCGAGCGAGGCGAGCAGTGACAGCGTTACAGGCTCGGCGCACACAGGCCTCCGCGGCGGCGGGCGGGCGGTTATAAGCGCGCGGCGCGGGGCGGCGCCGATAAATAACACGATAATATCGCATTACATACCTACATTAAAAGCTGCACTTTACATGCCTATTAAAAGATAAACACGGACATCTGTAGGGCCAGTCGCTTATCTCCGATGCATAGTTTTTTTTTGGTTTCATAATTTCCGACGCCTGAATTAACGTTTATTGCTGCTATTAAGATACGTGACGAACGCTAGTGTTTTGAAAACAGCTCCGAACAAAAGTTTTAGTTTCATAGACTGACTAGACTAATGGCGTATTAAAGCTGATGTGAGGTATTGTAATCCAATATCAGTAGAGTGATAAATGACGTGTGAGTCATTGGACTGAAGGTCCTAGATAAGGCTTCGCACTTGTAAGTCGCGCCGAATTGTGGCTTCATGTCCGTTCAAGCGAGGTCGACGACCGCTCCAAATGATAGGCTCGTCACTTTTCCACGTTCAACGCGTTTATACAAACTACGTCTGTGTTAGGCCTAATTGAATTAGTGTTTATTAATTTATTTTATCTACACCCATGCTTTAAAAACCCTATTATAGATTCTGAAACAGTTAGTTCATAGAAAAGATTAAAAAACATCCAATTTCATAATAAAAAAATGATATTTTTGCAACTGTTGTATTAAAACACGAATGTGGGTTTATCACATGAGTGTTTAATACCTAATTATAAAAGTTGCATTAATAACTACTATACGTGCAGTTTCTAAAAGATCGATAACAGGCAAAATTAAAATGCTATATGTTAAGTGAAGTGAGATTTCTTGAAACAGTAGCAAAAGAATGTGCAAGTTTTTTGTTGAATCTTGGCATCATGTGACAATTAGGATTATATTATATGATTGTTTTTTATTTTGGTTAAAAGTTATGCTCAATTTGCTTCCATATAAAGCTTAACCGATAAATATTTACATGTCATAAAATATTCGTAAGGATGTTTGTGATGTAGCTACGTAGGAAACGAAAATTAAGTGAGAAGTTACTGGGTATAAACAGCGACATTTAAATTGTAATTTCACGGTTGGGTGGAAATTTTCATTGGCGATTAATCCTTGTACGTGATTCGACGAAGTGGCGAGAATTCACACTGGGAAGGCTACGCTCGAAGCTACATTATTCTATACATGATAACTATTATTGGTCTTGTTTTAATCAAACATACCCAATAACCAATGGGTATACTAATCTTTAAAATATACTGGTTTTATTTTTATTAATTGCAATGTATTTTTAAAGGAATATTTAAGAACTTAAGAATATTTTTTATATATGATACATAAAAAAAACATTACCGATCGTTCAAACTTATTTGCTTTTATTGAAATTCAAAAGTATACTCGACATAAAACGTACTTTGATGAAGGAAGTATTTGGAGAAAAAGTTTAACCTACACTGTCTCCACACTTAAATTATTAACATTTTATCGATTTCTGTACATCTTATCTTATAGACCAAGAGCTACTGCACCCTCCGAGTAACGGTCTGTCTGTAAGGCTAGAAATTCTTATGGTGATGAGTCATAACATGCTTAGTACGGTAACCATCGCCTGACACTCTTCATCCTTGCACGTTATCAAGTAATATATACATTAAAATAAACTTTATTCAGTAAAGTTGAAATTTATATGTGTTTGTTTAAGCCATTTAAAGTAAGTAGGTAGAATGCCAGGCGGTTCTGGCTAGCAGTCCTTGCCAGGCGAGAGGAAAGATGCTTCCGCAGTGCAAGTAAGAGTCGTAGTATGAAAACTTATATTATTGATGCAAATTAAATGATGTGAAAATAAAAGTTATGGTTAAAATATTTTTCATTATTGTAAGTCTTTAAATTAATTAATTAATTTTCATCATCATCACTTTCTCCATCAATAATAAAAAATATTTTACCCATAACTTCTATTTTCACATCATTTAAATTGCATCATTAAATATAAGTTTTCATACTACGACTCTTACTCGCACTGCCGCAGCATCTTTCCCCTCGCCTGGCAAGGACTTACGCTAGCCAGAACCACCTGGCATTCTACTTACTTACTTTTAATGGCTTAAACAAACACATATATAAATTTCAACTTTACAGAATAAAGTTTATTTTAATATATATATTACACACCTTTCGGTTCGTCTGGCGGGTACTTGTGCTCATCGTAAACGCCTGGCATTTTTTTAAACTTAAAAATGAATAATCTATATTGTATAAAAATTTCAACTTTTTTTTTATATTTTACCGACACTTTCAAAAATATACGGCTTGATGACGTGCAGCGCTGAGGAGTGCCAGGTGATGCTTACCGTACTCAGCATGTTATGACTCATCACCATAAGAATTTCTAGCCTTACAGACAGACCGTTACTCGGAGGGTTCAGTAGCTCTCCTACTATTAGAAACATTTAAAGTTTTTATTAGAAACATATTTCAGAGTAAATATATATTACTACATATTTTCATTAACAAATTTGCATACGTAAGTAATAATATATGTATTAATGCCGTTGAAGGAATAACGTAAAATAGACAGGGGTCTGCGCGTGGCGCTTCGCGCTCTTGCATTGCGCAGTCGGGTAAAAAGACAATGATATATCATATCTGTACTAAATATCAAAAAATATTTTAGTAACGTGTGCATATAATAAGATGATAACATAAAGGTTATAATAATGTTAGGGGAGCTCTTTGCTTTTGCAAATACTTGCGATAGTAGCTTTTCCAATGGAAATTATTATTTTCCAACCGATTGAGCTACAAAATAATGAATAATTAGATTAGTGCCTAATCATGCTGTTGATTGGTACCTTCATTCAAACTTCAGAAAAATGAAAAAAAAATGTCAGTGGAATCATTTGATAAAATCTTTTCAGTTTATTTTACCGATAAGTCTGTCAGTCCATGCACAGTACTTGACTTCCACTTCAATAAATAATTTCTAACATTGTTTAGGATTACGTGTCAGTATTGCGAGGTCGTCTGCAAAGACTAAGATGGACTCTGTGTATTTATAGTTTATTTTAAACAGATGTCTATTAAAATATTTTTAATTATATGCCCTAAAAAGGCCTTACATTATAATGCAATGGTTTGTAAACAGATTAAAACCATTGTACTTTTGTCTAAGGTTTATTATTTGATACTATTCTTATTATTTGATAAAAGTTGGTGGATTATTAAAGGAATTTGTGTCCATTTGGACACATGTGTCTTGTCTTCATTTGAAGATAAAATTTATAAAAAGCGTGTTCTCTATATTATTTGACATTTTAAGTTTGTTGACTTACTTGTTCATATTAACTCCTACTATATATATAATGCGAATATTCACTGTTATGAAAAAAAAACCTTTTCAGTTACGGATACATCTTTAAAATTACTTTGTTTCCTGACTTATATGGATTACGATACAACCTGCCGTCAAAAAACAAAGAGCCTGCATTTTCGCTGTAGCCGCAAATTGTGACAAATTGTGTTATTGAAATTTATGTCCGGCAGTTTTGAGACATAATTGGACGCAGGGAGGCGGCCATGTTCTCGGTGTGACGTCACGTCCTCTAATGACATTTATTACCAACGGTTCATTGGCGCCACTCGTCTCCTCAAAACCTAGCTGTATTCGTATTTGGTTATTAATTTTTGCGGGAATTTCATTTTGTCAGGCGGGCCTCTGCGAAAGGCGCATGTGTGAATAGCATTTGAATTTTAGTTTCTAAAAAATTTCCGTTGTGTTTTAATATCTCTATGTAGATGACTGAGTTAAAGTGGTTTACGATGGTGACGTCAAAAATTTGACTACTGACATAAGAATATTATTTTGTAAATAACCTAGCAAATAATTCCACCACATCTATTTTTAAGATGTAAGTTAATTCTAAATGTGAGATAGCCGTACGGCTAAGATAAGCATCCCCTACCTCGTGGAACTCTAATGGCTGCTGACTGTGATTTTTACTTAAGTTTTTACTAAATTATTAAATTCCTCCATCGTAAGCCATGTAACGAAGAAGTACCTGAAACAAAAAAAGTACAAATTAGATTATTTGCGTGTAAATTTTAACGGTGAACGTAAATAGTCCTTATATTCAATAAACATTTCCTTAAATAAACATCAATCTTTCTAAACAACAAAATGATCCTGTACGCCAGCGTAAATCTAGAGCCAATAAGCGTAATAAATTGTTACGTGGCTACACAGGCGGCAAGTAGCAACTTTTTCACGGTTGTGAAGATTGCATCAATAAATCTGGGAGCGTACATCGACACAACCACACTGTGTGGACGCCAGTGAGTGATTGCGCATAGTGACATGTAAGAGCCAATAGATGGCGTTGATTAGGCAATTAATCAAGTTCTCAAGCTGCGGCTGTGTGATATTTGGAATGAGATAATGCACATACATAGTACAACGTATTCCAAGGTAAGCGTACACCTCAAAAACGCACTGTCCTAAAACAAAACTTATTGCATCGGTTTTATTTCTTTACGCTACACTTCTAGTGGAATGTAAATGTGTGTATTGTACATTATATTTTCAATATATTTAACTTGAACGAATATGTCAAGCCAAAGCACAAATAAATGTTCATGTTTCCAGGACATTGCGATGGAACCGTTCATATCCCAACGAGATTCACCGCCGAGGGCCTTGTATATAAATTGAAGAAGTCCGGAGAAGTCGACCCTCCTTGGCGTTCCCCACACTCTAGCTTATAGTTGCTAGAAGTCGCGTCGCCCCATCTCACACTATTAGTTTGATTCCATACCACTACTCAAACAGTGTCACAACTTCTCTATGAATATTAGTGTCACGCATTTTTTTCCAGAGAGATTCATAGTCCACAAGATCAAATGCGCGACTCAGATCGAGAAAACGTGCATATACCGACGTTTTGTGCCGTCTGTAGTAATCGACAGCATGTTTTACAGTAAATATAGCGGAGTATGTAGAGAGACCGGTAAGAAAACCAAACTGTGCATCGTCAATCTGAATGTTACGCGAAACCTCGGGCTGCACAAGTCGTTCGAGAACTTACCTATTACGGTCCCCAGGGATATTGGGCGGTAATTATTGGACGTGCTCGCATCACCCGTTCTATTTTTAATGATATGAACTACAACCATTTTCATTAAATTGTTCGGGGGATTAAAGTGCAGCCGGTAACTTAGATGTTATTTTATCACATGGTAGTTCCAGTTCCATAATTGGACGCTTTTTAGTGCACCAGAGCGACACTCCGCAGTAGTTTTAGCACGATGACCCAATATTGTCATTAACAAAACTTGTAGTGGCACTGTACAAATGAGTATAGAATAACATAGACAGCCAAAATTGTGTAGGTGATTTTAAATATTAAAATACTGCCTCTGTTTTCAGCTCGTCAATACTTTATATCTGATATGAGGTGAACTGGATGAGTATCACGCTCAGGTATCACGTAAAAACGTTGGCGAGGAGGAGTCGCTTTCAAAGCTGTCAAATATGACAGTGAAAAGGGCGGGAACGTCACTTTAATGGATGTGTCACCATCAATGTAGTAAATGCAGCACTGATCCTATCGAAATCTAAACAAGTTAAAAAAAATTCGGTACTAGTTAAACTATACATTTGGGGTTTTAGGGAAGTTTCTATTGTTTTTAATTGTAACGTTCATTGTTGCTTTGTTGTTTCCAAATGCCAACCTTATCAGCTTTTTAAAAAAATGAAATGAGTATAATCACAAAATTATTCCAGCCAAACAAATAGACCACAACCTCTTTGTTTTAATATATTTATCACAGAAGCAAAGCTAGATTTTCTTATCAGTATCCGTAACTATTATCGAGGAGGATGTTGTGTATCCGGCGACTATCTGACTGATAGTTTATTTGTTATTAACAAAACATAAAATAAATAAAAGTCCCAACAATGAATACAGCCGGTAATCAGTATAATGACTGCGATCGCTCAGTACGATAGTCAATAAACGCGGGTCGGAAAACATGTCCCAATATGATGGATGGTGAAAGCGTCGATATCATGAAAGATGTAATCGAGATAGATATCTGCTAATAGTCTTGAATGTGTATGCCATTCACTGTAATAATTCCGAATAGTTCTACTTAGGTTAGGTTCTACCAGCTATTTGCTAGTAGCAATGAAATTCTTTTATAACAATTTGTGTTAAGTAGCTACTATATGAATGACAGAAGCGTGTGAACTCTGGCAAAAGCTAGTGCAAATTTTGCATTGACTTTAAAATGCTGAAATCTAGTATGACATTAACGGGTTAGCATTAACCAGCGCCATATTGGTCGTTATCTGTCACCGCCCCCCACGATCCGTTTCACTTGCAACCCGATAGGGGGCGACGCCGCGCGGCGAGACTACTCGCCTAATGGCTACCACGGCCCCTTTTTTATTACTGACCCGCTAGTAAACAGATCATTCGGGTTTGTGGTGTTATAAAAACGAAATTAACTCCACACCGTCATGTTCTGACCTCAGTACTGTCCAGCTATTAACATAAACTGGCATGTCACGCACATTCCTCTTTTGAAGTCCTCCAAGGCCTTAAGTATTGCATTACTGAGTAATGACGTCTAATGATCCATTAAGTCCGGAATACGCTGGACCCCTGAAAAATCTGTGCCAACTAAAGGCAGTTGTATGTAGGCAATTAAGTGACAAAAACTATTAAAGAGCCGCAAGGCTCATTCATTTTAATTGGCAATTGTGATTGGCGGGTGAAACTTAAAGCTTTAAACCTTCGCGTCGCATTTTAACATAATCTTGAAT